AAAAACAGAATGCAATAATTTTCCAAATTTCATAAACCCATATTTTAATCACAATAGAAAACAGAAAACATATCAAATGTTTACACTGAGAAAATATATCATTTTAAGAAAAAATAAGGTAATTATGAAGTTGATGATTAAAAAAGTTTGGACAAGGCCAAACAACAAACTGGGAACTAAGGGGACCAGTTTCTGGAGTTTTGGGAGAGGAATGTTGTCCCATTCTTGCCTAATATTGGATTCAGATACAAGCATAGCAACAGCCAGGAGCTCAGAGAACTAAGACATTGCTCAGGCAAAGTGGTCTAGACTGAGCATGTCTATATAGACAAGCAAACTAGGAGGCGGGCCAGGAAGTGATGGAAGGGAAGGGAAAACCCAGAGAACAGACGACGCCCATAGGTGAGCATAGACAAACCACACATGTGAAAGGAATCAGGAGCAGCACTGCAGCAAGGAGGTAAGAATACACAAACAAGAAACTGCAGGCTAACTTGTGACAGTTTTTAACACTGTGCCATCTGAGATCACGGGCATCCAGTATTGCATTTTGGCCATGTCCCTTGCGCACAAAGATTTCTCCAGATTCTCATACTCTTGACGATATTACAGTATGTACTGTAGATGATGATATAGTTAGTCTTTACAATTTTATGTTGAAGAACATTATTCTGAAACTGTTCAACAATTTGTAGACCAAGCTTGACAGATTAGTGAACCTCTGCCCATCTTTATTTATGAGACACTGACTTTCTAAAATGCTCTTTTTATACCCAATTATGGGTAAGACCTGTTGCTAATGAACCTAATTAGTTGCAAAATGTTCTTTCAGCTCTTCCTTGTTAATACCACTTACTTTGCCAGCTTTTTGTTGCCCTCTCCCAACTTTTTTGAGACATGTTGCTGACATCAAAATACGTTTTTTTTTTTTTTTTTGTTTTTTAAACAGCACATTTTCTCAGTTTAAACATTTGATATATTCTCTATTGTGAATAAAATATGGGTTTGAGATTTTCAAATCATTGCATTCTGTTTTTATGTAGATTTTACACAGTGTACCAACTTTTTTGGAAATGGGGTTGTAGAAGTGCTAGTCCTTCAACATTCAGACTATGCAGAGGTCTTGATGGAACTTTCCTGGGACACATGGCATTTTCATGGAGATGAGTAATGCTGCCCTTGTTATTTGCATGGCAATTAATGCAAATTACCAGGTAATTAGTAACCAGGACAGGAGGAAGGGTAGCAGTGTTAAGGCTTTATCCTCACTGACAATCAAAATCACCCATTTACACTAGACACTCTGCTGTACATTTCTAAAATCCTTTAATATTGGATGTACAAAGGAATGATAATCGCCAAAAGTTTGCATAACATCAACAGCACACTACATTTTTTCATTTAATCTTGTAAACACTAGTCTAAGGAGCATTACATTCAGCAGAAATTTACTAAGCCTAGTAGACACAATGAGGTTGCTATTTGCTTGCTGAAACCTGGTAGAAACAAGGAAGTTAAATAAGTACAGCCAGAAGATCTGTATTTAAAACCCCTAAATAGCTGCTGACTGATATTTAGCAGGGACATCATTAAGGCTACTTAGTGCTTTTCATTTGATGCTGAATGGGATGGTTTTCAGGCATGTTTGTCTTAAAGAAAAAAAAGCCCATGTGTTTTCACCTTAAAGTGGAGCTAAACCCACTGATATAATGGTTTTCCAAAAAAATTCAAGGCATGTCGTGAATAACGCACATTTTCTTGCGGTCTCAATGCAACTGTCAAGCCATCAAAACGGCTGGTTTCGAAATTAATCAAATGTGAAGCACCATGGCAACTTCAGTTCAAACAGAAGCTAAGATGGCAGTTTCCTTGGCTATAAAGGATAGGGGGTTTAGTTCCGCTTTAAAGCCATCAGCCTGTTTTTACCCATACTATGCAAGCATCTTACTCCAATCCTTCAAGGGTATATGATGGCAGCACAAGTATTTGCAACTTGTGTACAATGTGGACAGTTGTAGTGACTATAAAAATTCTAGACCACTCATATAGTTAGATTTGATGGATTATTATGTACTAGCATGCCAGGACACCCATCTGTGCTTTCAAATGTTAATTAAAAAATATCCCACAAAGCTTAGTATATGGATTAACACATGCCAATCAACACTAAAGCACAGTAACCCATGGCAACTATATTTTATAGGATCACAAAAGACAGCTGTTGACTGGTTGATATAGTTTACAACAAACTCCATTAGGCATCCTCGGCAGAACATTGTAAAGGGAAAAAGGCTGTTTACCAAGTTGAAATATATTTGTTGTAAGCAAGTTGTTCCTCAAGACATATGTAGTGCTACGGGTGTCTACAATGCATATAAAAGTGTATGTTCACTGAAAAATAGAGAACTGATTCAGCCAACAAAAGAACACTGCATATACAGTATTTCCCACGAGACAATGTTTACTGCAGTTCTACAGACATATTCCTGTTCCACGCTTCACTGGTGAAGCACCATATCGGCGTACTTACCGCTATCTCCGTTACTAATATATCAGTTATACTTCCCAAAACCGTGACAAAGTCAAACACATTCCAAGCATCCCGCAAGTAGTTCTGCACAAAACACAGAAGATTTTTTTTTTAGAAGGAAAGTAAATGTTTTTGGTAAATTACATCTCACAAATCTCAAATCAAAGATGGCAGCAAACCAGCAATTCTCTGCCTAATCCAAACCTGCTCTGCTTTACAGATTAATTTACAGTACTATGCAAAAGTCTTAGGCAGGTGTGAATGTGCTGTAAAATTGAGAATACTTTCAGATATAGAAGTGTTTCATAGCTCATTTTTATCAATTAAAATGGAAAATAAATACACAGAAGAGAGATCCATAGCAATATTTGGTGTGATAACCCTTTTGCCTTCAAAACAGCATCAATTATTCTAAGTACACATGCATGCAGCTTTTGAAATAACTCAGGAGGCAGGTTGTCCAAACATCTCGGAGAACTAACCACAGATCTTCAGTGGATGTAGGCTGCATCAAATCCTTCTGTCTCTTCATATAATCCCAGACATGATTTTGGGATCAGGGCTTTCTGGGAGTCAAACCATCACTTCCAGGAATCCTTGTTCTTCTTTACGCTGAAAATACAGTAAATCTTAACGACATTGGCTGTATGTTTGGAGTCGTTCTGCTGCAGAATAAAATTGGGGCCAATCGCATGCCTCCCTGATGGTATGGCAAGAAGTATCTGCGTGTATTTCTCAACAATGAGGACACCATTGATTGAGACCAATTCTCCAAATCCATTTACAGAAATTCAACCCCAAACTTGCAAGGAACATCCACTTCCACCAACCTCCACCTCCACCACTGTTGCTTGCAGACACTCATTTTTTTACCGCTTCCCAGTCCTTCACGAACAAACTGACTTTTGCTACGGCCAAATATTTCAGTCTAGAACACCTATGCCATTTTTCTGCATCCCAGTTCCTATGTTTTCATGCATAGGACATGGAAACAAGGCTAAGTGACTCAACTACATCTGAAAACATAAGAACTGGGGTGCAGAAAAATGGTAGCAGGTGCTCTGGACTGATGAGTCAAAATTTGAAATATTTGGCTGTAGCAAAAGGCAGTTTGTTTGCAAAGGGCTTGAAAGAGGTACAATGAGTGTCTGCTGGCAACAGTGAAGCATGGTGGAGGTTCCTTGCAAACTTGGGACTGCGTTTCTGCAAATGGAGTTGGAGATTTGGTCAGGATCAATGGTGTGCTCAATACTAAGAGATACAGGCAGATACTTATCCATCATGTCATACCATCAGGGAGGAGAGTGATTGGCCCCAAATTTATTCTACAGCAAGACAATGACCCCAAACAAGCAAATGTAATTAAGAATTATCTTCAATGTAAAGAAGAACAGGGAATCCTAGAAGTTTTGGTTTAGCTCCCACAGAGCCCTGATCTCAACATCATTGAGTCTGTCTGGGATTATACAAAGAGACAGAAGGATGTCAGGCAGCCTACATCCACAAAAGATCTGTGGTTATTTCTGCATGATGTTTGGAACAACCTACCTGCTAAGTTTCTTTAAAAACTGTGTGCAAGTGTACCAAGAAGAATTGATGCTGTTGTGAAGGCAAAGGGTGATCACACCAATTATTGATTTGATTTGTATTTCTCTTCAGTTCATTTACTTTCCATTTTATTTTTGTTTATTGATGACAAACTATTAACACTTTTATATCTGAAAGCATTCTTAATTTACAGCATTTGTCTAAACCTGCCTAAGCCTTTTGCATAGTATCACATGTGTCACAAACCAAGTGAAGCAGATAGAGCTGGACTCTACCCTGACTTTGGGTTTACCAGGGAGTGGAATCTAAAGCTGGGTACACACGGATCGAAATTCAGTTGGTTCACTAGAGACTAGACAAATTTCTATCTGTGCTTAGTCCTCCCTGTTAGACAGAAGCTAATATTTAGATCAGCTTCTGTTGAATAGGACTGATGGAAAACCTTCCTCAATCAGTGGTTTGCAGCCAGTCAGCTGCAGCTCTGATCAGCGAGTCAAAATACGTCTGAGAAGGGGGAGGAGATTCCTGCATTCACATCGCTTGTGTGGATGCAGGAATCTTATCTTTTGTTTCCATTCAGCCCAATGGCTCAATAAAAAAAAAAAAATATCTGTGTGTACCCAGAATTAGGGATATTGATAAGGGAACCCTCACAGGGATTTGGACTCTTCTCAGGACTGGAAGGTTCAGTTTCAAAGGTAAGCCTGTCAATATAGTACTAGTATGCTGTGCACACTGGCACATTAAGCCATAAACATGCAGGCCCAATTAGAAAAAGAAAATGTAGACTTTACTACCACTGTAAAATATAGGAAAATATCAGATGTATGTTTCATACCAGAACACCAAAGGCAATAATTTTCAGGATACATTCCAGTGAGAACATTGATGTGAAGAGAATATTGAGGCACCGCAGCATTTCTTCATAAGTAGTTGGTGCTCCATAGAACTGAAAAAGCAAGAGTGAGTCAGCAAATTGAAGATGGAAGTGTGTCCAATTCTCATCACACAATGAAGAAAGATATGCTGTGATAGACTAATCACCTGATTTTAATTTTGTGATTTTATTTGGCAGTGATTGCTAGTATAATTGCAGGAATGGTAATGTTTTATAAAGCCACTTTGTAGGAAACGAACATCTGCCTGTTTTTTATAGTGTGTTATACTAAAATGAACTGTAGACATAATGCATGCCAGTACTACAGCGTTCTCCTCCTCCTCACCCTTGACTGGCTGGACTCTGTTGTCAGCCATCTTTGAATGATAGATATCTAGTAATACTGAACTGTAGCTTCCCTGCTGCTAATAAAGTGTCATTGGAATACTACCTACTCCTCCTAACATACACTCACCGGCCACTTTATTAGGTACACCTTGCTAGTGCCAAAAAATATCCCCCACACCATTACACCACCACCAATCTGAACCGCTGATACAAGGCAGGATGCATCTATGCTTTCATGTTGTTTACACCAAATTCTGACCCTACCATCTGAATGTCACAGCAACCAGTCTGCCCATTCTGCTCTAACTTCTGACATCAACAAGGTATTTATGTCCACACAACTGCCACTCACTGGATATTTTCTCTTTTTCGGACTCTGTAAACCGTAGAGATGGTTGTGCATTAAAATCCAGTAGATCAGCAGTTTTTGAAATACTCAGACCGGCCCGTCTGGCACCAACAACCATGCCACAATCAAAGTCACTCAAATCCCCTTTTTTCCCAATTCTGATGCTCAGTTTGAACTTCAGCAAGTTGTCTTCACTACGTCTAGATGCCTAAATGCATTGAGTTGCTGCCAAGTGATTGGCAGTTTGTGTTACCAAGCAATTGAACAGGTGTACCTAATAAAGTGACCAGTGAGTGTATAAATGGTTGTCTGTTCCATCTGTCAGTGATAAACTACTAGTGATATTTAGCTGTGGCAGCTGCTACTCCTTACCTCTGCTCCTATTATATAGTGTCTTTGAATGCATGTAACCTGAGGATAAAGCAATCTCTGTTCCCTACACACAACTAGCTGCTTCCTTGTCAATCACCAGCATCTAGGCTGAAAGGTTTTTCCTAGGTTTTTCCTTCACATTCTTTCCCTGTGTTTTTGTTAGGCTTCATGTGCACAGGAGGTTTGACCCATCAGCGTCAAATACTAGTGTTTTCAGGCACCCAAGAGGAATGTGTAGCTTCCAGACCTGCTACTAGTAGCCTGGCAAAATCAATGACAGGCTGAAATTCTTGGTTAGGGCTGTTGCATTCAGAGCTTCTCCAGTACAGAATCCAGCCGCTTATTTCACCTTGTCATAGATTTTGGAAGGGTGGTGACAGCGGGTCTGGGTGCTGCACCTGGAATACTACCTACTCCTTCTAACATACACTCAACGGCCACTTTATTAGGTACACCTTGCTAGTGCCAAAAAATATCCCCCACACCATTACACCACCACCAATCTGAACCACTGATACAAGGCAGGATGGATCCATGCTTTCATATTTACACCAAATTCTGACCCTACCATCTGAATGTCACAGCAACCAGTCTGTCCATTCTGCTCTAACCTCTGACATCAACAAGGCATTTATGTCCACACAACTGCCACTCACTGGATATTTTCTCTTTTATGGACCAGTCTCTGTTAACCCTAGAGATGGCTGTGCATTAAAATCCAGTAGATCAGCAGTTTTTGAAATACTCAGATCGGCCCGTCTGGCACCAACAACCATGCCACGTTCAAAGTCACTCAAATCCCCTCCTGGGGGCCTGAAAAAGGTGGTGTTTGACACTAAACAGCGAAACCTTTGGTGTGCATGAGGCCTTGTACTGTAGTAGTGCTAGCAGGGACTGAACAAATTAAATTACGTGCACAGAAAGCTATGATTTTAGACACAGTTCCCACTATTAAAACTGTACCAATTTAGTACATTTGTTTAGCAAGGTTTCTAATAACAAAACATCTCTGATGTACATAAATCCACAAAATGGGTTGAACAGTCAGTTTATATCTCAAATACTAGCACAAGGAAAGAAAATAGGTTACTCTAGCCCCAAACACATGCAAGTTGAGGGGTACACACTGTAGCCATGAGGTGATATAAAGAACATACAAGAGCCTATCAGAACCAAATCTGTTAGGGATTATGTTTTGACATTAAGGGAGGATATAATGAAAAAAAAACTTTCACATATGTGCATAGGAAAGGTGGCATGCATTTTGTGTTTTATGTAAACTATTATAGCACACCTTACCTCAGTTTTGCCTTACCTTCATCATCAACACAATGGTGTTGAGCGCAATCATCACCATGATGAAATACTCAAATGGAGGAGACACCACAAACCGCCACATCTTATACTGAAATGATTGACGGTTCTGTGGCATGTATCGCGTTAGGGGCTTGGCACTGATGACAAAGTCTATGCAGGCCCTCTGCAAGGAGAATAACAGGAAAGTCATGGTGCTATTGTATACAGTATATAAAATGTTACCCCAAACCATTTCCCACCCTGGTAAAATTGAAAGGAAAATCTTAACAGGGCTTAACAGATCCCCCATTGCAGCACCCAAAACATTGATGGCTTTGGAGTTCCTGCCTAAATTTAGGGGGATCTGTAAGTATTCTGGTCTAGTTCTATGTCTCTCCCCTCTTCTTTTTTTTTTTTTTTTTGTAAATAGGATGGCATAGAGACATGGATGACGATGTCCACACTTCTTCCTAAAGGCGTAAGTGATTGGTATGCAGAGAAGCAGTACATAATATAACTGGCTCCATCTCATTCTCCCTACCTCGTTCTTCTCAAGACTGCACTCCGACATGACCTTGTCTCCCTGTTCCTGGAAAGTGATGATAATTAGAGCCACAAAGATGTTGACAAAGAAGAAAGGAAAGACTACAAAATAGACCACATAGAAGATTGACATTTCCATGCGAAATCCGGGAGTGGGGCCCTGGTCCTCACTGGTGGCATCCACTGAGTGTTTGAGGACGCTGAAAAGGAAAAATAACCCTTGATATTACAATGATTGTTCAGCTGTGATGCAAGTATGATACAGAAAGCTTCCTATACATACAAAAGAGCCTTTACATAAATAAGAAGGTTCAGGTCAAACTCTCTAAGTTTAATAACAAATAGTGTCAATGGGATAATCAACATGACAAAAAGTCTTATCCATAATTCTAAAAAGCAGCTGATCTGACTTCACTTTTGCTAGGATGTAAACTAACGTTTTTTTTTTTTAAACTTTTGTTTTCTGGCCATATGTTTGTTGCATTTTACACAGTTAAATGTACATTTCTGAAATAACACACCCCAGAGACTTGACTTCCATGACTTTGGTGCAAAACCCAAATGACTGCCATTCCAACTTTCTATAAAGAGCACCACAGTGGTCAATAAGCACACTCTCTTTACAAGTTTGAAACAGTTGACAGCATCACTTCAAAAAACCATGATAGGTGGCATGTATATAGTACTTGAACAGGCATTTAATTACCGAATGGCATTTATCCAAGGCGTGTCTCTACCTCTGACTTGCTAAATGCTCTTTTTGGAGAAAAATAGGGTGTTTTGTGTTGATTGTGAGTATTACATGTCTGATAGAGTAGAAAGCACTTACTTGGGCCACCCTTCCCCAGTGGAAACCGTAAAGAGAGTCAGGAGAGCCCAGAGAACATTGTCGTAGTGGAACTCGTATTTTTTCCATTCCCTGGGCTGTGCCCTCACATCATCATTTTCATAATTAAGATATTCCCCCCTAGACAGAGCAGAAGAAGGTCATCAGTAGAGAGTTTTATGGTTTTTAAGTTGCAATCTTCCTCTTTCCGACACTAACCGGCAATCTTTCTCCAGGTCTTTTGACTCATCTGTACAGTAGAAGAACTTGCCCTTGAAAAGCTGAACAGCAATGACGGCAAAGATGAACATGAAGAGCATATAAACGATGAGGATGTTGAGTACATTCTTCAGTGAATTCACTACACAGTCGAACACCGCCTGGGAAACAGGAAACAGTGAACATAAAGGAAAGAACATGGGACCTCACCAACAACTCAACCAGCAGGCTTTTTAGAGCACAACTAGGGTAATGATTACACTAAAAGATATCTGTAATGTCTGCTTTCAGGTAAATTGCCATTCAACTAAAATCAATATTTTAGCTAGGGTTGGAGCCAGGGGGGCTGAGTGAGAACTTGCATACTTGCATACAAAAGAGCAACCTCATTGACATAAGTCCCAACTCTGTTCTTGTCCATCTGGAGGTTTTTGATGTTCTTGTCCACTGTTGTGTTTTTCCTTGCCCCCTTTTACATTCTCTCTGATATAAAATAAATAAAAATGCAGTAGGGATAGCAGAATCCCTAATAATGCCTTAGTAGGTGTGGAGACACAAGATCTCCGAGTTCTCACCAAAAACAGTCCCTGGGAGACAGAAGAAACTGTCAGGTGGTTTAACTCTCCAGCAGCCAACCTTGAAAAATCACCTTTGGATAAGTTGTCCTTTTAAAATAGTTAGTGCAGAACTTCTATTGTCACCTCATGTCCAAATGTTGTTTGCATTTGCAATCCTAAGTGTATTCTGGAGCAAATATTTCTGAGTAGCTTCAGTCTTTGGTGACGTTACACCCAGGTATCAGAATGAGGATACTGTCATCATATGACCAGCAGACCAGAAAGAATTCAGGAATACAATGCCGAGCCAAATCATAGCCTGGCTGCAGCCAGGTTCTCTACACATAAAATTAAACCCAGGTAACAGGTTTGTATAAAATGGAACAACAGAGAGCACCAAACTAAGTGCAGTGGTATGAGCACAGTTTTTATTAAAAAACAACTGGCAACTCACTTTTTAGCTGTAAGAACAAAGCATGTCTCCATGATATAAAACACTGCTCTCCATGAGTCTGCAAAGTGGATGGTCAGGATGCTGCTGTGACCACCAGCAGAATCAGATAAACCAGGTGATGCCAAGAACCGGGCTGGAACACATAGGGGCACTGGACTGGAAGTGATGTCACCGACAGCGGACCCATGGAGAACAGTGTTTTATATCATGGAGACAGACTTTTTCCAATTGTCTTTTAATAAAAACTGTGCTCATACCACTGCGCTTAGTCTGGTGCTCTCTCCTGTTCCTTGTCATTTATCTCAGAGGTAACTATACTCTTATGAAGGAGCAGCTGCTGGTGTTGTGTGGAGCAGGATACAGCCTTTATTGACTTTCTGGGGTTAATAAGGAATCTACAAATTCATTATTTTTTGACTGTAAACTTATTTGTCCCATTTGCTTATTAACAGTTTTATATATTTTGCTTACTGACACAAATGGGGCAAATAAGTTTACAGTCAAAAAGTAATTTTTCATGCAAGGAGCGCTTCCTTGAACAATCTAAATCTGTGACTCCACACCCTTACTGAACTCTATCCATAATCCACAGATAGGATTATATGTTTAGAGATATAGGTCTGGGGTTATTCAGAAGAGTGCGTCTGGCAAGACGCTGCATCTCATGGAGAGAACATCTGAAAACAGATAACGTTACGAAATACAAGGAACACCAATTTGTTTTCCAGGAAAACGTTCGCAATTGTTTCTCAGATGCAATTAGCAGGTCACCAATGTATTTTAAATTGATTTTACATTCCCAGGGAATACGAAAAAGCATCCTTTAGTTCAGCTATATATTTATAAAGAAGTCATTCCATGTATTTGAAAAGACTGCTAATAATAATGACTGAGATCTATTTTTGTAGTTATGCACAGTCCCACAGCACTGCACTGCACAGTGCTGCCAATCAAACATGTTTCAGGCACTGTGGGCTGGAAGAGGGAGGATTTTCAGCAGGCTATGGGAAGGAAGCAAGAGAAGGACCTCAGCAGTATCGTGATGCTGAAGAATAGGTAAAGAGCTGTGCCAGGGATGCTTGAATGATAGAACTGGTGAAATTATTACTATGCTGATAGATAAAATAGTCAATACAGATGTATTTCAGCTGGGTTTTTAGCTGTTTGGCTGCAGACAGGCTGTAAATGCATCCAATAAGTCAGAAAACAAGGCAGTAAATGAAACCATAGAAGACAGATAAGAAGACAAACCTTGAGCTTGGGCAGCCGCTTAATGGTTTTCAGAGGCCGCAGAACCCTGAGGACCCGCAGGGATTTGATGGTGTTTAGATCTTTCCCTTTGTTCCCTCTACAGAGGACACACAAAGAGATAGCGTCAGTCAAATATTACAAGATGGCACCCAGCGTGAGCGTCTTCACCCGGAGGATCAGATTCATGCTTTACCTCTCACAATGCTCTTCCCAGAATCTGGGTCACTCTTATCAGGGCTGCGCTTTCATTTTTTTTTTAGACATCTCTTTTTATAACACAGAGAAATACCTTATAATATCACTCATGGAAAGGAAAACTGACCTGATTTATCTTAAAGGAAACCTTTACTGAGAGTAATATGGAGGCTTCCATAGCTGCCCCTCTAAATATGTGTACTGAGTGGCTGCCATGCGTATCACTTGAATTCAGGATTCTTAGGAACTGACCCAGAGCAAGTATGTGACCATTAAAGTCAGAGTACAGTTAAGAATCTTGAGATGTGTGCTTGTTTGGGTGTGTCACTGGATGTTGAATCCTTTGGATTAGCATGACAGTCATACAACTAGCATTTTCAAAAAGAGACCAGCAATGCCACCCATTAATACAATGATCTGCTGTAAGCATAACCTTGAACTGAAAGCAACATTTTTTTTCCATTTTGGATAGAATAAAGAAGAGTTGTAACTCCTGTCAAGCTTTTCTAGCCATTGGGGAAATTTCCCCTTGCTTCCTGTCCTGTAGCAACAACAGGAAGTGAGAGGAAATCACTGAAAAATGAGAGAAATCCCTGGTAGTCACCAGAACTAGCGTCCTCATTGAAAGATTTCCCTCCAATCCTGTCCTGGTAACAACTCAAAATGAGGGATTTTCTTTCACTAATAATATTCTCAAGCAAAAATAGAGACTTTGCATATTCCTAATGGGAAGATTTAATCCAGATGGGTGTTCTAATCCTCCTTCATTCTATTAAAAAAAGGTTTTGTCTTTGGTTATACTTTGACTATCTGCATGTGGCTTCAAGCATATGATTTAAATTATTGATCAGATTTGAGACTACCTTCATACTCTGGTTGTTCCATTTAATTTGAAAAAAAAAAATAGAAAAAGGTAGCTTTATATATTTTTGCAATTTTGTATCAATTTTATATGGACTTCTGACCATATAAGATTAAAAGAAGTGCTACTTTGGGGACTACATTGGAATGAATTTCCTTTGCACTCACTCCTATGGTCACAATGCAACAGAGAACTGTTCTGAGCCTCTGAGTGATTATCCAGCCTGATTTGTGTTTCTATTTATTTACACTATTTGGACTCTTTTGGGTTTGTCTAGTATACTGTATGCTCTTTAATTTTTGAGCTCCTGCAGTGTCACTAATGAGGTACCACAAATATTTTAGGGAAAATAGAATAATAGAACAAAGTGTCAGAGGAGGGGACAAACTTTGGACAAGGAATTCTCTGTGTTATGTCAGGATGGTTTAAAAGGATATGCAGATACACCTGATAACAGAGAATTGTTGCTGTAAGACATTAACCAGAGCTCCATTAACATTACCATTCCTTAGGAACGGGGAGGGGCCACAGCATCCAGTGGGGCCTCCCAGATGCAGAGCATGCTTCATCCATCATGCACCTTGGTTAGTCATGCAGACCCGATTGGGTTTCATACCTGTGCTGTGCTGGCTTTCAGCTACAGAGCCCTAGCCTCATGTGGATTATTTAACACCTTTTCCATTGGTGGAGATCATACTTCACAGCCAAAGTGCATTTAAAGGGATTCCAAAGTCAGGAAAAAAAACATACCAGTAAACATAATATTCCGCTTTTTGTTATTTCCATCTATTGACCATCAGTGGGTTAATTTCCAATTGTAAATGATGGAGGGTTTTCTACTGGATGGACTTGGAACTGTGCATAATGGCTACCATGTTGTCTGGTATGGGCTTTGCCTATTTCTAGACAACTAAACCTGTTCAATATTTTACACCTCTTAAAGTTCACTTTACTACTCTTGGCCAGGCAAAATGTAATATCTAGAACGATTGAAAATTGGGTTTAAGGCCAGGCCAGTGTTGGAGCACCTGCGGGAACTGGCCTAGCAAAACAAGTTTTTACAAACCTTTACATTCCACAATGCTCATTTCCAGAGTAAACAGGTACATCTATACATGAGTACCCTGGAGCCCCCAATTCTAGGGCAGTCCAAAAAAAAAGACTCAACCAAGCCTAAAAAAGTTGTGATCTTGCCTGCCTCCTCCACCTTACCATAGGTAAAAGAAGCAAGTCATCAGACATGAATCAGCCAATAGCAAGGTTAGACATGTAAAATTTCCAGAAATTTTGAATTCCTGGAAAAAAAGTTTTTTTTTTCCTGTGTTTTTTTGGGGGAATTTTTGGCAAAATTGTAAAAAAAATTCAGTGTGGAGTAGTTTTACAAACTGAAAATTGCTTTGTTACACTAGGAATAAAATGCAGTGTATATAAAACTATTATGCTTGAAAAATAAGTACATCTTATTCAGTCAATAAACGAAACTTGCTTTTTAAAATGTTTTTTTTTTTTATTATAAATCTTTTTAAAATGTTGTTTTTTATTATAAATGGGATAACAAGGACTGTATTTCAACTATACATGAGAACAGTTAACCTCTCCCCCCACCTTTTCCCTTGTAATAATTTTATAGCTTTCTGCATATTTCAGTTATCGACAATGCTAATCCAGAATCATATGTATTGCTCTTGGAAGAGTCTGATTAATGTTCATCGGATTTTTAGGTGTCATTTTATCTATAAATGAAGGTATTGTGTATTTTTGGGTGGCAGTGGTTTGCAACACTTCCTTATTTGCACTGTGGAAATGTTTCCAAACAATGTTGGTTTCACCATTTTACTAAGACAGGGAAAGAAAAACCTGTTTACTGAGAACCTATAGCTAACCATTATGCTATGATGGTGGAGAACACTAACAGGAATCAAGTAAATGTTAAAAAAGAGAAACTAATTTTGTCAGATTTACTCTCTAACCTGTCAATTAAGGCTTGAGAGGACAGAAACTATCATCAATTGTATCTTAACAATCACCCAACTGTAGGAGATACAAGATGGAGCCCACAAACTAAACTGAACCCTTTTCAACTGCAGTGCCCCTAATGGCAGAAATGCGTATTTCTCTTGTTTGAGAACTGTGTTGAAAAGTACAATTTTACTTTCCTGTATTCCAGGACTTGCTTGTCTTCAGCTGAGAAAACGTGAAATAATTTAAGACTTTGCGTATATTCTCAAATCTTTTATTAAGTTTTTCATGTTATATACCATGTCATAGATATATTATTTATCTTTGTAAAAGAACATATTCCACACTTCCTTTTTTTTCAATTATTTCTATACAAAAAGCAAAAAATGGCTTTGGAAAAAAAATGGGGCACTCAGAACCACACCACTAGTATTGAAAAGTTTCTGTTGCTAACATTCCCAGTGGTCACATACACTCATTCACTAGCCACTTTATTAGGTACACCTGTTCAATTGCTTGGTAACACAAATTACTAATCGGTCAATCATATGGCAGCAACTCAATGTATTTAGGCATCTAGCGTGGCAAAGACAACTTGCCGAAGTTCAAATCAAGCATCACAATGGGGAAGAAGGGGATTTAAGTGACATTGAATGTAGCATGTTTGTTGATACCAGACGGGCTGGTCTGAGTATTTCAAACACTGTTGATCTACTGGGATTTTCATGCACAACCATCCCTAGGGTTTACAGAGAATGTTTAGAAAAAGAGAAAATATCCATTGAGCGGCAGTTGTCTGGACGAAAATGCCTTGTTAATGTCAGAGGAGAATGGACAGATTGGTTTGAGATGATGGGCAACAGTAACTCAAATAACATCTCGTTAAAACCAAGGTGTGCAGAATACCACCTTGTTGAATCTATGCCAGGAAAAAATTAAGGCAGTTCTGAAGGCAAAAAGGGGTCCAACTGGGTACTAACAAGGTGTACCTAATAAAGTGGCCAGTGAGTGTAAAGTGGGAAATTCATGAAGGACTCCAGTCAAAACTCAAATATGTAGAGCTGTTTGCTTTTTGTTTCTTAGATACACCATTTGGCAGTGAAATTAACCGCTTCCCAACTGACCTATAGCAGAACTACTACTAGAGGGCGGCAGGGCTGCGCAAAATCACGTGTGTGTATGTATGTATGTGTATGTATGTATGTGTGTGTATATGTATGTGTGTATATGTATATATATATATATATATATATATATATATATATATATATATATATGTATATGTGTGATTTTGTATTCCCGGTGATCGTCGAATATCACTGATGAGGGAGAGGTCTTTATTTAAACAATACAGATCTTTCCACTGTCAACTCCAGCACGCTGCTTTACAAAACAGCATCTCTCCCTAGTAAAGCACAGCACACAGTAAAGCACAGCACACAGTAAAACACACACAGCACACAGTTAATCCTTTGATCGCCCCAGATGTTAACCTCTTCCTGCTCAGTGTCATTAGTACAGTGTCAGTGCTTTTTATTAGCACTGATCACTGTATTAATTTCACTGGGGATGTCAGTGGCAGTTATTCAGTCCCCCCCCCCAGTGTCAGAACGCCCATCACAAAAATGCAGAGGCGATCAAATACCAAAGGAAAGCTCCATTTTTGGGGAAAAAAGGACATACATTTAATTTGGGTGCAACATTGCTTGACTGCGCAATCACTGAAGTAACGCAGCAAAAAAATGGCCTGGCCAGGAAGTGGGGTAAAGTGGTGGGCAAGTTGTTAAAAAAAAAAAAAAAAAAAAAAGTTTAATTTTGTGAATCTGAAATCTATGGTGTCACAGCCCTGCCCTTTGTCAAGCTATAGGCTGTATGTATGTATAGCCTTTAAATGTCCTGGAATTTTTTTTGCTCTATAGCCTGATATCCCCAATTTGCCTGTGCCTTGTTTATCCTTGAACATGGAGAGGACCCCCTACATGTTGTTTAATTTAGTTTTATGATGCTGTGTAATAACATTTTTATCCCTCATCCCTCGTTTTTGCAGCCACTTTTAGGGGTGTCAGGCGTTTTTTTTTTTTTTTTTTTACTGCTCCTAAGTGGCCCTCTATGCTATCCTATGTGTCCGTGCACATAGACATTTAGAATCTTTTACCAGCAGAAAAAAAAAACCCAGGGCCAGCGTGTCCAAGAGCAACAACGTTTTTGCAGAAAAAACGTTTGACAAGGCTAAGCGCATCTAAATGCTAGTCACATTTAGGGCTTGAGCAAGTCATTTCAATGGCCAGAATAAATTATCATTCTGGCCAATTAAATGAATTAACGCGCAAGCACTTGACGCTTGTAAATGTGCCTAAAGGCTTGTAAAAGCGTTAGATACATTTACAAGCGTCAGGTGTTTTTTCTCTGCAAAAAATGCTGCTGCCAACTTCTAGGACAGTTTTTTTTTTTTTTACATCTTTTGTGCATGAGGCCTAAAAGATACTTTTGCAGCTCATAGAAAAAGGTAGTGATATAATATATTCTGTATGATTTTACTGATTATTTTCTCCCGACTAGAAGCCTTCTTTAAATGTAAGTACCCCCTTTTCTGAATTAAATTTACTGTTTGTCATCTACTCAGGGATGAGTAGCTGGCTACAGTGCTAGTTTGCATAGACGGGGGACAAATACCGGAGAACATCAACAGATTGGCCCTTTTCGCTTGAATTTGCGAATGCAGATGAGTATGAAAGGCTCTGTGCTCACCAGATTTACATTTACAAGATATAAACAGTCTAACCAGCACAGCACGGGTAAACTAAGAAGATCAGAATGACAAAGGTGCAGAATGAGAAATCATTAGATGTGATCCAAGGTTTATCTTGGGTTGCAGGCTTAGGCAATATGTGACACACAAGGCTGTAATATTACCCCAAGTAAAATGTCCCACAGGTTGCCCAAGCCTGCTGTAAGGTGTACAAAATCTCTTGGCCATCTTACAGTAATCTTCGTTAGTTGGGGTCAATGCATGGGGTGGAAATTATATGATGTGAACATGCGCTGAAGTAAGCTGTAATATCTAACAGCCTCCAAATCAGCCTTCAAAATTGCCCCCTAGGAGTGCCTTGTCTAATAACGCCTCCAGGGTTTATTTAAACCTTCATTTGCAGTTCATTCAATGACATTAAATGAGATGGTTGTGGCTAATTCTACATTGCAGTACAGAATGACAATAAGGAAGGGTTGGTGTTACAATGGTTCTAAAATTATAGGGCACAGAAACAAGAATTGGGGGACACATACAGGATCTTCCTGTATGTGCAGAAATTATATTACATTTACCCAACAAAACTCCTAGAGACAGAAAAAGAGAATCCGGCCATGGAGAGACAAAGAGAAAGCGTAAAATCAGTAGACAAGCACACTACATAAAGCCACAAAGCAACAAAGTCAACAATGCCTTTAACAAAGTCAACATCAGCACACAATTTCTGTCTCCCCCTCATTCGCCCCTTCCTAGCTAGCTATAATCATTACTAAGAAGCCTCCAAATGTAATCTTTAAAAAAAAAAAAATAAAAAAATTATATATTGACTACAAATTTTCTGAGGCAATTGAATTAACTGTCCTACAGAGGGCAGTATGTACTGGAACAACAAATGCTTCTTAGCCAAATATACGGTACTTACAATAGTCAAGTGCATTGTACATCAGCATTTTCTGCATAAACTTTCATATGTTTTATACGCATTTCTTAATTATCAAACTGTATTTGATAACCTATGTTTGAATGCATCACCTCTACAACAAATTGTATTTAGGTGGAATTCATTAGGTTATAGCATATATTCTTTTTGTTCTCCTATGTTACATGCGGTTGTCAGGATGGATGTTTCTTCTATAGTGGACTCATAATTTAGCAGTGTTCTCGAGCATCTTCCTGTTATCTATAAAAATTGGCTCTAGTGGGTTACTACTAGGTCTATGGTGGATTACTAGGTCTAGAATGATGAAGGAACCAATGTTATTATGCCAAACTTAGTGGTAGTAGTAGTCTAAGTCTCTAGTGGAAGAATACAAGATAGTCTAGATGTACTGGTAAGCTTCTGGGTGGTCCTGCTAGGTGTACTGGTGTGATTCAATGCAATTCTGTCATCAATAGTAATTTGATTTAGGGAGACCTATTTAGCTAAAGTTATGGTGGATACTTTAATGACTACTGGGTGATGCTGGGTTTCGGGAGGTTCTGCAGTGATATCCAGAGAAGTCCTTCTTGATCTAGCTATAGAATCTACTGATGTTCTGCTAGTTCAGATTTTAAGGCAATCCTGCTAGTTCCAGCAGAAAGACTAAGACTAGCTTTTACTATATCCAGCAGTAGACCCCTAGGTGTGGTAGGATCCCAGATGGGTTAGAGTAGGTTGTTCTGTTCATCTTAACAGTTTGTAGAATTGAGAAGATAAAAAAAAAAAAAGAGGGCAAAAGATCCTGCAATAACTGTATACAGTATTTCCCAAAACTTTTTTCAGTCCCATCAACAATGAACAAATCTGCACAGATAATCCTGTGTTAGCAAGGTGATTTAGTGACCAGTGCGGTGGATATCCACAAAAACTGAATTGCTAGTGGGACTTGAAGATACATTTGGAAATCATTGACATCATAGATTATGTAATACATTTATGTAAATATAACATCTAATTAATGAAATGATTTGTGTTTTTATATGTCCAACTGAACTAAGCTAAAAAATAATTTTCACTAGTATAACCCATCATCATTTTTATTAAATAGAACACATTTAGCGAAGACTTTGAAGTTATCACTAAACTAATGTACACACAAAACACGCCCAAACAATTGTTCATGCTGTTTGCCACCAGTATTTATTATAGGTTTTGGGTAGATGACACTTACGAGAAGGCGAAAGCCACCAAGGCTCCACTGACCACGATAAAATCTAAAATATTCCAGAGGTCCCGGAAATATGAACCAGAATGAAGGAGAAGACCTAGGTCAATCATCTGAAATCAAAAAAGATGTCTTCTATGGAACAATATGTTAACATTTGCAATACAATTTAAAAATGTTGGATATCAATCTAGATACTAACTTTCTTTTTCTGCTGATTCTAATTGTTTTTATCTCAAGGGAATAGTAGACTACTATTCAAACATTCCACACCCTACCTTATTACAGTTCAGTATTTGATCTCCAGAGGCCTTACTGACATTCTGGTCAAGCTCTCTTAACGCTCCAACCTGTCATAACTTCCCCATGTGTAATGTTCTCCTATCCAAGACAAGGTGACTCCTATTCACCACTTACACACATGTATGACCCAACAACAGCTTAAAACTCTGTATGGATATCACAGCAAGATGAGACGCCAAGAGCCTTCAATTGCACTAGAAGGAACTTCCCATTCAAAGTGCAAACTTAGAACGAATAGATTTTAATTTTCTGGCTTTGGTCATATAGACTAGGCCAAAATTACTCTGCAAAACCCTTTGGTTATTTTTTTAAGAACACTTATTCCTGAGGCTGTGACTTTGCAATAAAGGTATTCAACTTCACTTATCGGAGCCGCTCTGTAATTTAATTATACATGTCTTAAATGCTGTCTAACTAAAGTGGAACTATTAATATATAGACATACATTTTGGGAAATGGGGACTTCCAAAGCACCATAGTTTGACAACTGTTTAAAATAACAATTTTTATTAAATTCCTATAAAATACCTGAAAAACTTATTTTTAAATGGCATGACAATATGGCATTTACATGAATAGACTAGACCAAAAAAACAACTTCTGTATTCAGGAGAAACTTCTAGATTTATATAATCCCAAAAAAGGGGTTATATAAATCTGGGAGAAGTATCTCCTGAATACAGATGAAGTTTTTTCGATCTGTTCTATTCATGTATATTCTATGTTGTCATGTAATTTAAAAAGAATTCAATAAAATATTTGGATACAGCAAGGGAGGGTTAAAACCCATCAGATTTTTTTTTTCGCCATCTGTGTTCCATTGCAGAGTATTCCCTTCGCTTCTTGTCCCATAGCCAAAAAGGAAGTTAGAGGAAATCCCTGCAAATTAAGGGAATTCCTTGGTCACTAGGTCACCAGAATGAGTATCCCCAATGGAAGATTTCTCTTCTATTACTTTTCTAGGGACAACCCAAAATTTGGGATTTCCTTTCAAATGATAATGGTAGACAGGACAAACAGAGAGGGTGAATCTCCTTAACTGGGGCACAAAAAACAATAAAAACTGAGGTGTTCTAATCCCTCTGCACTTTCTCCAAAACTTTAAAAAATGTTGCCTTCAGTTATACTTTAAGCTCAAAACTGATCATGCAAATTAAGAAATTGCACATTTTCATGTCCTATTCTTAGTGCAGTCTGCAGAAGGTAATCAGTTGAAGGGGTTGCTTGCTGTCTTTAGCACATTTGCCATGTTTTCTGTATAATGTTATTACAGGATGGTATCAGTGAAACTTTATATTATTGTCTGTGACTCCATTGAGGACATTTCACCTCATATGACAGAAGGAGAAGAAAAGAGAAACAGTTGCCAATGGTACAGGAAGACCCATATAATAATAAAACCTGACAAATGTACAAACCATCCCCTAAATTGTTTGTTGCTCCCTATGGAGAGATTTTCCATCTCCTGACAAGTACAGGAAAATATCCCCAATGGGGACAAATACTGCAAATAAAGGTCTTATTTCTTTCTTACTGTCCGAAACTACAGCTGGGCTTCAAAGAAAACCTGTACTATGGGGATTCTGTGTGAAAATGCTTATTGCTGCCTGTTATGCTGATCCTGTGAATTCTGTATTTGAAGTCACTTATCTGGAACAAGAGTCAAGTTAGAAGTCCTTACCTGTTTATTTGTTTTAGGTCTGGCAGTAACTATTGCAAGACCCAGGTACAAATGCATTGCTATACAACAGCCTAGTTAAACTGCAAGTAATGGATGATGCTAGTCTACAGTTATTGAGTTGCTGTACAACCCGGCATGATGTAAATTTTCTCCATCATGTGGGTGTGTTTCCCAGTCCCAAACGCTGACTAATCTTCTTAGAACTTTCCATATTTTAATTAACGAATGAATAGAGAAGTGCCTTCTCAGAGCGGCCGAGCTTTTAATTAGTGCACAGAAATGACACAGCTAATATTAATTAGATTTTGCTGGAAGTCTATGGAAAACACTGTAAAGGAGGTTCTGTGTGGCTTCACAGCACAGGAACTGTTGAGTAATATCAGTAGAGAGTGTTTTTCCATAATGGATGAGGAAAACCCAAAACAAAACCAAGCAGGGGGAAACTGTGACCCAAATATTTATGTCATAATGCCTTTTTTCATTTATAATATGCATATCAGAGACATCAATGAGTGAAACTAAGCAGAAAGATGAAATATGGGAATGGCCTCTTGATACATAGACTTTAATGATGTGAAAACTATATACAGTATAACATACATTTGCATACTTGCTAGATTTGTTGGATTTTTTTTTTCAAAGTGATGTCACAAAGAGGTGTAACTTTTAAAGTACACCTGTCACTTTACCATTCGAGCCAAAATGACAGGTTCTCCTGACAGCCCTTTCTTCCTTTCTGCTGGAACAAACCTTTAACACTTTTCCTCACTGCTCCGTTCACCTGCCTGAACCTCCTGAATACTTCCAGTTATATGAAAACAATTGACCTTCTCCTCTTCCTCTTGTGGTTTAGTACTCAGCTCTTGGGCAGCCAGTCATGTGAGGGCAGGAAAGTGGTCATTACTCCTATTTGGTGATGCACAACATAATTTTTCCTATTGCAAGAAAGTGTCCTCCCATTTTTTTTTCAGAAACAATGGCCACCATGTTAAGTACCTCCTCATCCTGCCCTTCAGCTTAGAGAGCAACAGCTTCTACTATAAGCCTAATTCCAACTTTCAGACAATGTTTGGCAACGAAGACTGGAACTGTATATTCAACAAATAAGTGTTGTTATACATTTGACTTGATTAACAGACAACTGCATATTAATATACAAGATAGAACGTTTTCACCTGTGGATTGTGGGTAGTAAAGTGAACTCATGTAGATGTTACGCTTACCTTGATCACCATCTCAAAAGTGAAGACCCCTGTGAAAATATAATCCATGTATTTCAGCACCTGCAATCACAAGGATATACAAAAACTATTACCAACAGATAGGAAAAATAAAAACTAAGGGAAACTGTGACAAAACAAAAAAAAACAATGACTTTCCAATGTTTCTTTCAGTTAGGACCCTTTGCAGTTTGCATCAGAGGAACTGATCTCTGGAAGCTGCGATAAAAAAATGGCAGGCAATGGGCAACTAGTTATCAGTATCATCTGTGGTCTTCCTGCAGCTGATCTTTCCCTTATTACAGACTTACCATGCCTTCTTCTTCACTGTGTCTGTGTGTGGCAGTGACCACCTTGGCAGAGGCAGAGTTTTGCTTCCTTAGCAGCACAGTGGTACAATGGTTAGCAATTCCGCCTTGCAGAATTAGGGTCGTTAGTTCAAATCCCAACCACAACACCACCTGCCTGGAGTTTGCATGTTCTCCCTGTGCTTGCGTGGGGTTCCTCCGGGTACCCCGGTTTCCTCCCCCACTCCAAAGACATGGTGGTGGGTAATTGGATCCTGTCTAAATTGACCGTAGTATGTGTATGTATGAATATAAGTTAGGGACCTTAGATTGTAAGCTCCTTGAAGTTTAGGGACTGATGTGAATGCACAATATATATGTAAAGCACTGCGTACATTGACGGTGCTATATAAGTACCAATAATAAATAAATGATCTAAGAGCCTCTAACAAGAAGAACTGTGAACAGCACGGTTCTGACATCACACTCCAAATCTCCTGAGACTAGCAGTCAGAGGTAGTAGCACCTTAGATCTCACATTACAGATATACAGCTATGAGGCTATAGGCAGAAGAGTGTCTAAGTGATTAACAGGAAATGCACTGCCATTTTTCAGAGGGAATTCAAGACAAACGGTAAAATTTTCATGGTACTGCTTAAGAACCGTTAGCATTTTTATATGTTCCCTATAACATTGCAAACCTTCATGTTTTTGGTTCAGGTCCACTTTGAAATGAAACTATAATCATAGGAAGTAAACATATTACACAAATAATGGAGATTATTTGTGATGTTTGCGTGAATGCTTGAGACATTCACACAGTTTCTTTCTAGAAATAGACCTCCTAGTTTTACTATAGATAAAATAAAATATTTTTCCAAATGTTATGTAGTTTTGTGTGTGCTAAACACACCAAGAAAAAATTAACAAGAATCAGAAAGGTATATTAATAAACAGGACATTAGTTAGATAAATAAAATTAATTATGTGAAGATCAATAGAAAGTACCAAACAAAAGTAAAAAGCAAGAGTAAATAAAAGTGTAAGGAGATCAGGACCTTGATGTCAAGCTACTATCTGGTCCTGGCAGTTTTGGACAACTACAAAAACATGAAGGGAGAGGATCAGGACATTTAGGTATGCTCATGGTAATTCAATTAAGTTTTTAGGGCGTACACCTATAGGGTTCATGTATACGGCGTGTACAGCCTATCATACAAATGAATGGCTGTACATGGCCGTACTCTTATAAGCACAGATACTTCTTTCCATTTGTGTTTACCCTTTCATGCATGCCCAACATATTTCCCAAACACTGAATATGAGGCAATAGATTTCCAATGCACAATAGGCTTTCTAAAGGGAAAACATTGCAGTAGTTTTCACCTTTAAGGCACACTATCTCTGACTGAACTGTACTGAGACAGTGGACGAAGAAGTCACTGATCCATCTCATTCACTTTTTTTTCAGTTTGAGCTACTGTGGTCTTTAAACAAAATGATTTTTAAAAGAAAAGAACCCTAAAAAGCTCCACCTTCTTTCTGAAAATGAGTAGCTGTAAAATATTTTATAAGTACCAGACTAATAAAAAAAACGATATTAAAAAAAAATATATTTTTTTTTTAGTCCTGACCATAATAAAGAAAATATAAACAAAACCACATTCTCTTTTAATTCCCCATTTCAGGTTTTGAAATCCTTGTATATTAGTGTAAAAAAAAAAAAACATGCTAAACTCTCAGGGCTGCTTACATCGTTGTGAGGGGCATCGGCCTGTACGGGGTCTTCTGCAGCCAGCGCAATGCTGCTCAGGGCAATGACTACCAGGATGACCATCTCAAAAATAGCGTAGGTTGACAATGTAGTGACACAGACGGCGGACTCTGTCAGGAGAGCGAGAAGGAAAACCATCAGGCGTTTTGTCTTTACTACCTCACATGCCTTCCACACACTAAATTTTTCCTCAGTTTGATGAAGCTCCTGTCAAAACCATTTTTCAACAACCAAGCAAAAGTCTGACGCAAATCTCCTCTGGGATGGAATGAACTGCTGACAGAAATTGTTCATATGACAAAGTGACCCAGCCTTCCTAAAACACAGATGAGGGCTAACAATGACAACTGAGGGATGATGGTAAATGTGTTGGCAATTTGAAAGCACTCACGGGTTGGTGGAGCTGAAGATGAACATGGAGCTGTATGGCAGGATCTGCTTCGGCCCATTTTTCGTTAAGTCTTCTGCTTCCATCTCCTTCTTCTCCTCAGACTTGATGTCGAATTCCACGTTATTGACTGTGAGGAGTCATTAGAAGATGTATTGTTATTCTGTGCGGGATGCATTATGTGTGCTGGTATGTATGTCAGCAGATCACCAAGAAATAGAAACATTCCTACCACTGCCTATCACCCACAGAAGTTATGAGTGATAATTTAGTGGGGTATTGTGTACTGGGGTGAAATGTAGGCTGGACCACATTAGCATACTTCTAAAGTTTTGGAAATGGGAAAGAGCTGATGTTTCCTTTAGGCTGCTTGTGTCTACTAGACTACTTGTGTGGCTGTTTGTGACCCTATTGGGAAAATTCTCCCTCACTTTCTGCCCCCTAATCAAATATAGATGGTGTAGCTGTCACAAAAAAAGGAAGGCACAGACACAAAAAAAAATTCCTCAGAAATTTCTCACACTTCCTCACTCTACTAAAAATGTGCATTTGTGCTCCCATTGGAGAGATTTCATGTTACTTACTATCCTAGCAGGAAGTGAGGGGAAACCTGCCCTATGGGGACACAGATGGTGTTAAAACTTGACAGGGGTTTAAACCCTTCACCATTCTATCCAAAACAAAATAAAATGTTTGCCCTTTAGTTTAATCAAAATGGCTTTAATACTAAATCATTCTAAATAAATATACTATAAATAAATAGAAACATTCCACACAAAAGTGCTGCTTTCTTTGCACAAAAAATACAATATTGTTACTTCTAATACTATAACATTATAAAATAATAATAAAAAATACTAATAATATTAAGAGTTTCCATATCCACTGAGCAGTGGTCTGCTCACTCCAATGGCTTTTGTTTTTGGTCTACAGTAACATGTCTGCAGCCACTGATATCTACAACAAAATGTCAACTGCCGTTGACTAGGGAATGTGTCCTTGACCGTATTGTTGGCCAGTACTCTTATGGTTGTTGTGGGTACATGTGAGGATACCAAAGATAGCAGGTAGTAGACACTGCACATAAGTACTCTGTGGTGATGTTGGGTGATGGAGGAGAGGCCTTCAGACATATCTGATCAATGAAATTCTGAGAGATTGCATTTATGAAGAGGTGACCAGGCAGGGGATGCAAATTCACCCAGAATTTATGGGTGACTTGACATGTGTGGTCATCACAGAACTTGTAAGCCTTCTCTCGCCTCAGGTGACAAAGTGCCTGCCTTACCTTTTTATTGAGGTGACTGTCAGATTTCCTCTCCTGGAGACCGTTATGTAATGAATGACTCGTGGTCCATTTTTATGGCAATTTATGGTGCAAAATAAACTTTATTGCCAAAGGTGCTACAGACAAGTGTAACTATAGACTGGCAGTAACCGCTTTCCACATATGTAATTTAACTTATAGTAGCTCATATAATACTTTATTTCTATTTATAAAATGACTGGCATATTTTTCTAGCGAAAGGAAAACTACACAATACAAGCAATCATGTGCCAGTTCTGGGAAGGGATCATGAAGATGAAATTGATCCAGAGACTTGGAGAGGAGAGAAAAGACAGATGCGTAATGTAGCAAAATGAGATGAGCATAATTAATAAACATATTTTTAAAGTGAAATACATTATTTTTATAAATAAAATAAGTACATGAAAGCAGCCATATTTTTTCTTTGCTTCGTGCTTAGCATTCCTAGATTCTCACTGACCCTCTTTCTTTGCATAAGTCTATGGGTGAGACCTGAACCAATCTTACAGCACAATATCACCTATACCCATAACTACCACACCCTAAAGAAAAGTCAACAACTTTCACCCTTGAAAGTAAACGTAAATACAAAGGAACTTTTCTCATCAAAATAAACCTAAATCAATAACCAATCATAAGTATACAAAAACTATAAATGTCCTAAATCACAATATAACCAAATATAAAATAAATTAAATAAAAATTACAGTCTCTATATAATGTCTTTTTCTCCTCTAAACTCAATGCATTTCTTTGCTTTATCCCACATGATGTTTCCAGATTTTCTTGTACCTCAAAAAAATAAACTCAAAATAGTGTATTACATTTTAAACAAATTAACGTGCCCCAAATCGTGAATCATGTAAAACTGCATAACATGTGCAATACACACGTGAGAAATTTTATTTATATATATATATATATATATATATATATAGTAATAAAGATATATAATATCAATGTAGAAATCAATAATACACGTGAATACACTCCAATTGTAAACACTACAACTGCAAACAATAACAGTGATTCACTCCAAATTGGAGTGAATCACTGTTTATGGGTCAGACCTGACTGTCTGAAAAAAGCTGATTCTCTCTAAAAATAAATAATTAATTTTGGTCACTCTTGCCAAAACTGATATGTCATTTTTTCTGGAGAGTTGAGTTACCTGACAATGACTTTCTACTGAAAATGCTATGTTGGGTGTTCTGTTCTGCGCAGCTGCTGAATCCATTATGGGGAGTCCCCACTCATTCCATTAGATATCTAAAATATATTTTTATACTATAGAGACAGAAGGATCAGGGACACCCAAAGCAGTGAGGGTTGGAGTTTTTGGGGAACATTCCAAACTTCCTGGTAGACTGGAAGAAAGCTGGGAATCATGGCAGGAATATCTAATTGGTGGAGTATCCAGGGCTCTTTTAAAAAGGTACGCTAATCACATTCTCTGAAATTCAAGTAGAGGAAGCACTTACAAGTCTGTTTAATTAAAATGTGGAACAGCAAGCAGGTGACATGAGCAGGATCCAATACTGCTTTAGGGCAAATATTTAGTGATAATACAAAATGTCTGCATTTGAATAATTTTGCAATATAATATCCTAGGGGGTTGCCAAGTAAAAACAGGAGAAGGGACATGATGGGGAGGATTTACTATAAGTAGATCACTCAGAATCTGGTGCAGCTGTGCATGGTAGCCAATCAGCTTGTTCTGCATTTCGCACTCTCCAGCTTTAGTAAATAACCCATGATATGTCAGCACTGTGGTCATAGTTTAGTGCATAAATGACAATCCTTACGGAAGAGAAGCAGGTAGGAGCTCTGGGTTTACCTAGAAAACTTATAAAACTGTGCAGAATAAATGCTCCCCTGTCCACATAAAAGTCTATCAAATATATAAAGGAATACTGGCCATTAAAAGGTTTAAAGTGTTTTAGCTAACTCCAGCAATAACATTTGAGGTTCATTATTTCTTGAAAATGAAATTTTATGTCTACAAAGTATAAACGATCCTTTAAACTAACAAATAATCTGTTGATTACAAAGCTTAATGTCATAGATAAACGAGTGTGTACTGTATAAATATCCATTTTAGAATTTGGCAAGTGCAGTTTGTGCATTAACCTTTAAACCCCTACTGATGGGAATGTCATAGGCGCTGTATATAAATTAACATTTTGGCACAGGTGCAATGATGGTGATGGCATATGCCAGAAATTACATCTCTAAACAAGAGTTCTCACTTGGTATGACAGCGGTGTCTCCAGGCGGTGCTGTGATGGTGACGGGTATATTAACTGTGCTGGAGCGGTCCGTGTGCGGCTGAGACATTCGGTTCACATTTTTCTGGTTATCGGCATCTTCTGATTGCTCCGGCAGCTGCTCTAGACCCCCGACAGGGACCTCAGCCTCGTTACGGTGGTCCCTGCAGTGATAGATATATATATTATTAAAAAAAGACTTCCAAGCAGTTTGAACAGATGCTGGAACAGGTAGAAGGAGAGAGCTTTAATAACATGAGATTAACACTGAAAAACTGTCACATGCTGAGTTCAGGCTTTGAAAAAGCAACAGAAATGGCTACACTTCAAAGAAACACAACCTGTAATCCTTATGCTGATACCTCCTTATCATATAACACCATTTCTTCAATACTGCTTCAATTCTGAAATACTGGTGCAGAATTAGGATGATTGCTTTGGAGCCTGCACCTTCACAAATCAAGTTTGCTGTGACCGCTCCTATGTGGCCATCCTCACAGGTTCACTTTAAAAGAAATTGGCAAATTACTAATTTGTTATACTTCAAAGAAACTTTGAACTGAAAATATAGGACCTGTAACCACAGACTTGCCATCATCCTACTTGATCTACTATCTAGTGTGTCACTTAACAAGCATGCTGTCCCCAAGTGAAATCTTCTGCCTTAAATACCTGTTCTGGATTAGTGACTCACTAAATTATTGGCACCAGGAACACTGTCATCATGCTATGAGATTGAGCGGGAATCCTCCAGGGATATTGTTTTTAGCCTTATTTCCCGCTATGCAACTCACTTATTGAATTGTGTGATAGAAGACATGTCAGTGTTGCTTCTCAAGCAACCAACCAGCTTCTTATTCCATATTTCTGCTTAGTACTATATCATGAAGAGTAGAAAGCTGACCAGTTGCTGGGGACAACACAGTCACTTCTAAACATTCCCAAACTTTAAGCCCAGAGTTCTTGCGTTGATATATCAATGAGTTACCTGGGTCTGTGATTGCGATGTTCCTTCTCGGCAGATTCTCCATCTTTGTTTTCTTTTTTCTCTCTGTGTCATATGTGGAAAGTGCTTTGTGCCTGTTGCGATGACGTGACCGAGGAACCTCCTCCCCATTTTCACCACGGGTTGTGCCATCTCCATCTCTGGTGCCTGATCTAGATCCTCCTCCTCGGTGTCGGGACTTCCTCTCACCCTTGCTGCCGGAACCTGGTTGTCCATTACCATCTTTGCCTTGTCTTTCTGCAGAATGGCGGTGCGTACGGTGCCGGCGGTGCTCCCTTTCTGTACCCTCTTCGGGTGAGGCCCTGCGGTGGTGCCGCTTTCCCCTCTCTTGGCTTCGATTCCGCTCTCCCCTTCCTTCCTTTCCACCTTCCCCTTCTTTACTACGACTTCTATGCTGCCGATGGCGCTCTTCTCTATCGTTACTACCTGAGTCTCCATTATGGTTACCATTCTCTCTACAGCCGCCATTGGTTTCGCCCGTGCCTCTCTCACGATGTCGGTGTTTCCGCGGTGCTGGCTCTGTAGCCCCCACAGGCCCTGGCTCTATCTCGTTGGGTGCTAATGCTTCTGGGCTGCCGTCTTTGGTCTCTGTGGAATCTTGCGGCTCCACCAGCAATGGTCGGTCCATGTGACTCTTCATATCTGGCCGCAGTCGTAAGGTGGTGGCATAACGCAAACGGTCTTCAGGCTCCAGTTCACTGTACAGTGCCTCACAGCTCGCACGGAAGTTGTGCATACGGATTTGGGTTGTGCGCTGCTCCCATACCGACCGACATTTGGTCGAGTTTTGCTGTTTGCTGAAGAAGCAGAAGATGTTATACTTCAGAAATCACTCTAGGCAGCATATTTCAAGAATAGAGGGGCAGACAGAGATGAAGACCAAAACATAACAAACAGATCAACGAAGAAGTAAAAAAAAGAGAGAACAAGATAAAACAATTCAAAAGTTGTAAAAATGTATGAAAAATGCTAAAGGATGAATGAAGATTGAAGGGAAAGGCATACAGAAATCAGATTCATGGTGGGGAGAAAGTATGGTCGGGAAAGGGAAAATACTTGATTACTATTACTCCTGCATCCTGAAATTACAATTGGGCACATAAATTGGGATTCACAAGACATAATTATTCAAACACGTAACAAAAGCAGTAAAAGAAAGGAGAGCAAAGGCTTCTACCAAAATAAATAGGATTAATACTGATAGTCACCCATCTACAGATGGAATTTGGGCCCCCTTGTAATAATGTACTTACCTACACATTTTCCTAGATTTAATAATACGTAGTTTTGGATAGAATGGAATGGTTAGGACCCTTGTCAGGTTTTTTTCTGCTGTCAGTTCCCATTAGGGAGAATTCCTTTTATCGACACAACATGAGAGGAAACCTCTCCAAAGTGAGGGGAAATCATTTCTTAAACATGTGCCACCACAAGAGATGTCTCCAATGGAAGGCATCCCCTCACATCATGTTCCTGAGACAACTGTAAAATTTTGGCATTACCATCACCGCCTCTCCTGGTGACAATGGTCAGCAGGACCTAGAGAAGGTAAATCTGCCCAAAGTAAACACAGAAAGCTATAAAAACTTAACATGCATCCATACTCTAGGGCTAAAAAAAGACAAAAAAAAAATCAGCTCAAACCTCACAGTAATTGCATAGGTCATTGAGGAAGGTGGATACTTTCAAGAGATAGTGCAAGCTGAATCTAGGTTCTGTTATCCTTTTTGTACTGGGTTATGGCAATTTTAGTAAACCAGCGCATGTGCCCCAGGCCACAAGGACATCGGACACATCAAGTACCATGCTTATGTCAGTGCTTCCAACCTTAGTGCCAAACAACCCTCTGTTGTAATGAAAAGAGTATCTCCTTTTCTTAATAATGAGTTCAATAAAGTATAATCTGAAAGAACGTGACCACCCAAACAGATATTTTAGGTTTGAATAGTTTATAGCAGATTATATGCTTGATTTTTACATCTCTTGGATAATCCAGCAGTGAGATCTCTGCACCAGAATGGCCGGTTCTGCTGTGACAATTACAATGCCAGATAATGGTGCCACCATGATGTAGACTGTGGGAGTAGCAAAGGGACAAAATACTGTAGGAGGGGGGAGATGCACAAAATCTCACCATTGTGGGAGGGTCAGGAACACAACTACTGCATGGAAATTTGACATTTTAGGAAGGGCAGAGACACAACTACTGCATAGAAATTTGACATTTTGGGAAGGGCAGAGACACAACCATTGCATGGAAGTCTCACCATTGAGGAAGGGGCAGAGACACAACTACTGCATGGAAATCTCACCATTGTGGGAGGGGCAGAGACACAACTACTGCATGGAAATCTCACCATTCTGGGAGAGGCAGAGACACAAATATTTTATGGAAATCATTCCATCATGGGAAGGGCAGAAACAACACTACAAAAGGGAAATCAAACCATTGTAGGAGGGGCAGAGACGCAGCTACTTTAGGCAAATCTCACCATTGTGGGACGCAGAGGCAGAACTACTATATGCAAATCATACCATTGTGGGAGGGGCAGAGACACAAAATACTGCAGTGAAATCTTACCATTGTAAAAGGGGCTTTAACACAAACTAGTTCAGAGAAATCTCACCAGACTACTGCGGGGAAATCTCACCATGGTTGGAAAAGGAAGGGGGGGGGGGGGGGGGGGCAAGACACAAACTGCTGCAGGGACATTCCACTATTGTGGGATGGGGCAAAGGTACACAAATACTGTATGCGTTGCATTGAGTTGGTCTTTTTATTTCCTTGGCAGCCACAACCTGAATAGAGAAGCCTGTTACCTGCCAGCATCTGGAGTGGGACCATTGCGCTTTGTGGGGAAGGAATGTACTCACTGCAGAGACCTGATGTGCCCCCTACTGACTCAGAACTATAGCCTTGTATGCTCCCTGGATTGGCTTGTTGGACTTCTGAAACTTCTCACTGAAAGCAAGAGCCTCTGCAGAATGATGGCAGGGACCATGCTTTCTGCTTAGGCTTCAGCTGCTTTAGAAAAACATAGACCACCCTTTTGTTTTGATGCACCTGCAACGTATTTAGCTGACTGAAAGTGAAGAATAAATTGGTCTTTAAATCAGCTACATGAGAAAATGTATCTCTGGACTGCTGCTAGTACATTTTTGCTTATTGGTGCCCTCCTTAAACTTAATATCCCTGAAGACAGTCCTCTTATTTAAATGGTGGCATTAATGACCAGGAAAATTTACACCATCTACATACCAGTACAGAGAGGTTAAAAAAAAACTCTGCTACATAAGATTTTTTTTTCCTGATAATTAGTGTGTGATAAAATCTGATAACATTAAACACCATGAGAAATGGTTATTAAAAATAAGAGGCTGGTAGATGGAGAGATGAGCACAGCTATTCTTAGTAGTTGAGGATGTATTATTTAAATACAGATCGCTCTATTTCATATTCTTTCAGCGCTGAGCCCAAACGATTTTACTGGGGAGCCAGAATAAAATAGGAAAATTTAATGAGCGAAATTGCAAAAGATAGCAGAATAGAAAGACAGATTGCCACAGGGTAACGTGGAAGGAAAGATTTTCCAGACAAACTCTGCACCAAAAGGCCCAGCATTCAACACCTAACAGTTGGATTCTGAGCAACATGTTTCAATGTATGTTGATGGGGAAACTTCAGTTTTTATAGATCCTCTCTCTCAAAACTATGCGGGGAAATTCATTAAAATGCCCTAACAACATTGCCTGTGCTGGCTACAAAAGCTACTTGAGTCTGTTGCCTGCACTGACATTTTGTCTTGCAGAAGAACTATAGATTTCCAAAGAGTGATTTAGACGCTCTTTATGTATTCCCTTGTATGAATATACATGAAAAAGCTCTAAAGGAATCCAGTACTGAACGCATTATAGGCTGTTGTTTCCGAACCCTCCTATAAATACCCATTCTTTGACTGAGGTGTCCACTACTTTTTAAGCCACTTCTCTGAAATAGGTATGCAAATTGAGGGTTCTAACTTCAGAATGACTTTCCTGATCTGCATGCTTGTTGCAGGTCAGTGACTTGGAAAAGTATTGAAGTCATTCAGCCAGGGAACCAGCATTTCCAGAAAGATATCACCCCAGCCTTGGCAAAGTCTGTTGACTGGAGCTCACGGACTGCTTTTTCATGATAAAAGATAAAACTTTTGTTAAGAAATGATACTGTTTTTCTGTATGGTGGTATATAAGACATTCATGCATACTTATAAAGTTACAGGGAGGTCTACCTAATCTGATGACATTCACACCTACTGTAGCTCTTTAAATTTTCTTTGGTTTCCCTTAAACGTTGGTTTTTTTTTTTTTTTTTTTGGTTTGCATAAAAGCAGTATTCTCCTTAACAGATAGTAAATTGTGTAAATTTGTGTAAAGCCAACTGTAAATGTAATGCACACATTTATCCAGGCATTCACGTTCCCTCCACTCCCCTGTATCTTTGAGATACGTTGATCTATGGGAGCGCAGTACATGCAGGATTTAGGGGATTCGGACGCAGCGGGAGACTGGAAGAACTGGGTAATTTGCATAGTGATGAGGTCTATTTTTAAGCTTGGCTTTAACAAGGGCAGCGCAATTAGATGCTTGGGGGCACCTCCGAGGCATGGCTGGTACAGGAGACAGGTCTACACAGAGGCCCAGCGGTAGACTCACATTTGGAGAAATGAAACACCTAAATGTTTCAGCTGTGCAAGTCAACCAGGAAGAATTTGAAGAGTTTCTAGAACCATCGTTTACATAGAAATGCTGGATGCCTGTAACGACAATGCAGCATTTAAGATTAACTATAGTGAGAAAATACATAAGCTACTAATACTAAGCTCTCCTTTTGAAAATGCTAGTCTCCTGACTGCTATGCTGACCCAAAGGCTTCTGTACTTGCCATTGACTCAGAACAACTATTCAGACCAGGAGCTCCCACCTCATAGCTACATGTATGTTGTGGGTCATTGATCTGGACTGTACACCAGCTTCGTACATATCAGGGACTCCAGTAATTACTGGACCTGCGAGGACCTTTCCAATACTTTGGCCAATACAAACCAAGTGACGCTCCATCTAGGTGTGCTGTGCTTGATGCAGAATAAAGACCTGGAAAGTCTGGCAAGACAGCACCTTCTTTATGGCCTTATGGTAGTGGCAGAGACATAGTATTGCCAATGTATATATATAACCAGCCAGGGGCAATTGGTGCCCACCTAAAACTAGAATATCATCTGGCCCTGAAGCCACTGTATTTTTAAAATGCACAATGGCTATAAATACAGCTGTCATGTTTCAAAGGGCATATTGTAGGACAAATGTTCTACTGGCAAGTTTCTCTCTGTAACATCAATTTCTAATTTTGCTTCTATTTACTTTTAGTACGGCAGAGATTTGGCACCCCCGCAGCTGTAAGAGTGTGTAGCAGTTCTGCTTGCCAGGCTACCGTCTTGCCAGATATCATTCTCCGTGCCTCACAAAGCTTGTATTTGAGGTGGTTTGCTTTTCCTGCCAGCAAGCACAGGAGCACAGATCCGCACACATAATACAATCTGCTCCACACATGTTACAAAGGCAGCCTAACACGGCACAGCATCCTACATGTCTGCGCCATCCTAAATCTTGGCACTGTACATGTGATGCAAAGTATACACTTCTATAGGTACTTGTTGTTAAAGGGAATATAAAATCTTTCCACATTTTTATTTAGATAAATGTAAGATATGACCTTAAAGTATAACTATAGGCAAAACCTTTTTTTTTTTTTCATTTT